ACATATTGCATGTGGCTTACTATGGATATATCTAAGCCTTTCTGCAAATCTAGACTTAGAGGAGTTGGTCAATGAGGGAACATCTGGATTATGCCTTTTCTTAAAGTAGTTTTCTTTAGGAACTTTCAGCATGTTGTTGCAGTGTGGAGTTGTAACTCTGCATGGACTATGGACAATCAACAATATGTACTCAAAAGTTGCACTACTGCAAAATGGGTGTATTATCCAGGTACTCAACACTATTTTTTTGTACTGTTGGTCTTGTACCAGAAATATTTTCTTTTATTGTTACTTGCTTTTTAAACTTTGTTTAGCTACTTAAAGAAAATCTGCTTATGGCACAATTTGCCTCAAATCCATTCCAAGTTATTTACTTGTTTTCCAATGAAAAAATTACAATTTACTTCCCCACTCAAAAAAAGAAGGTAAAAGGTCAATCCACAGAGAGGACAAAAACTCTGCAAATCACGTATCCAATAAGGATTTATATCTAGAATATATGAAGAACTCTTGTAACTCAGTAATAAAAGAAAATCCAAGGGATCCGAATAGACATTCTTCAAAAGAAGATATACAAATTGCCAATAAGCACGTGAGAAAATGCTCAACATCATTAGCCATCAGGGAAATGCAAATCAAAACCACAATGAGATATCATATCACAACCACATGGATGGCTATAATAAGAAAGACGAATAGGAAGTGTTAGCGAAAATGTGGAGAAATTGGAACCCTCATATACTGCTGGTGGGAATCTAAAGTTGTACAGCCGCTTTGGAAAACAGTCTAGCAACTACTCCAAAAGCTAAACAAAGAGTATCTACACAACCCTGCAATTCCACTCCTAGTACACACACAAGAGAAATGAAATTTACACCCATGCCAAAACTTAACAAATGTTCATAGCAGTATCGCTTATAATAGGCAAAAAGTGGAAACAACTCAAATGTCCATCAGTTAATGAACAAATAAGTAAAATATGGTATATCCATACAATGGAATATTATTCAAGAATAAAAAGAAATGAATTACTGATACATGCCACAACATGGATAAACCTTAAAAATATGCTAAATGAAAGAATCCAGTCACCAACTACCATATATTGTATGTTTCCATTTAAATGAAATGTCCAGTGTAAGTAAATCTAGAAACGGAAAGTAGATTAGTGGTTGCCTAAGGCTGGGGGGGAGGTGGAGATGATAGCTAAGGGATGCAGAGTTTCTTTTCAGGAGTGACAAAAATGTTCTAAAATTGATGGTGGTGATGGCTGCACAGTTCTGTGAATAAACCTACAGCCACTGAATTGTACAGTTTAAATCAATGAACTATATGGTAGGTAAATTTCATCTCAACAAAGCTGTTAGTACGTCACAATCTGGGGAACCTATGGCCTTCTGGATCCTTGAGTGTGGCCTTTTGACCAATTTGTTGTGTAAAGTTTGGATTCTGTCAAGGGGCCACACTTGGAGAACTGAAGGGCCACATGTGGCCCTAAGGCCACAGGTTCCCCACCCTGAGTGAACCTCGATTTCTGTATTTATCATGGACTGATAACAAAGAGCTCTGGACCAGCACTAGCGCATTGACCACACTTATGTGTTTCTGCTTAGGACTACTCTCCTTTTGTTTTTCCTTTCTATACAGTTATAATATTAGACTTTTTAAAAAAAATGAAGTGTGTTGGTAAGTTATATTTTTATCTGTAATTTCATTTACTGATAATAAAAGAAGTATTGTAACATATTTTATATAAAAAGGGATACTGGGCCAGGCATGGTGGCTCATGCCTATAATCCTAGCACTCTGGA